ATTAGTATAATGGTTTTGAAAATGGTGAAAATTACATTTTTTTTGCACGCATACACCACACAAATTACAAATGGGATATTCTTCCATTCTGATTCTTGTGTGCACCATAAACACACACACACACACACACACACTCTACACGGTCCATTTGGTTGACATGGATTTTTTTTTAATTTCTGGTGTAAATTTCTTTCTTGTTGTTCAATTTGTAATTTTTATTTTTTCATTAGTATCTTCATTATTTGTGAAAAATCGAATTCTAGACAAATTTTCCAGACAAACAGAATATATTTGTGTATTTTGGTTTGAAATAATGATACTACTAATACCTTATATCCAATTTCATTGATTTTGAAAATATCAAATTGATGGGAATTAAAATCAACAGAAACGTTAAACAAAAACATGAGAAAGTAGAAAAAAAAACTGAAACATGCACATTTTGATTGTCACTGTGTCCAGTTCTTTTCTTTCTTTTTCTCATCGCTAATGGAAAGCTCAATTCTCTCCATCTTTTTCTCTCTCTCTCTCTCTCTCTCTCTCACTCACTCACTCACTCAAAATTCAATATGTTTCGTGTATAGTGAATACAACAAGATTAACTTGATATCGATAGTTAGTGTGTATGTGAGAGATGGAGAGAATAAAAGTTTGAATCGATTCATTATTTTGATACTAGAATTTTTATTTGATTTCTACATTATTAATAATAGCTAAACAATCCATGAACCATTGGGAATTTTGATTCACCATAAATCGATATAGAGAATATTCGTGACCTTTTTGTTTTGTGCAATATTTGTTTTTTTTTTTTTCTTGTTACAATGATAATCATGTTATGTTGATTTTTTTTCTACTTCTTCTTCTTTGATGAGTTAGAAAAACGTGCTCAAACCATAATGATTTGCTAATTGATTTTCAGTGTTTATGGATTTTTTCTTGTTTGTTTTCTCTATTGATTTTTCATTGAGATTTTATTTTTTCTTTTTTGGTCAAATTTAGGTCTACATACAAATTATCAGTGTAGTATTGGTTGTTGATTTATTTTTTCAATTCTTGATGCTTATTATTTTGATGATGATGATGATTATGCCTTCTGGTGATTATATCAGATGTGCAAAGTTGCAAATTTTACAATATAGAAATACTTTGGAAGTTTCATTTTATTTTGACCTTTTTTTTACAAATGAATGCACGACACTTAAATCATGTGTGTGTGTGTGTCATCAATTTTTCTCTATCCTCTTATGATGATGATGATGATAATAATAATAAAGATTATGTCTAGGCGCAAAAATGTATGTAAAGGCTTATAGAAAATTTTGGTCATGCGGTCCAAAAAATTGTTTGAAATTCAAATTGTACAAATTTTTTTTTAGCCCAAAGTCATCACGATTGTTTCTGATGATTGTAATCATGTAACCAATCAGCATCATAATCACATATATAGTGATGATTGTCATTTTTTTTTTTTTTTTTTTGATTGTATTCAAAAATATTCATGTATGCAAAGAATTTCATCATCATTGAACAAAATGATAATTTAATCAAGCGATTTATTCTGTTCAACAACAACAACAACAAAAAAAGAAAGAAAAGAAAAGAATTGAATAAATGAAAAAAAAAAATTTGAATTTTTTTTTTTTTTTCCTCCATAGATATATTGTTGTTTCTTATGAAAAATAAAAGTAAAAATTCAAAGAATTCTTTGGAATTGGGACAGAAGAGACAAAAAAAAATTCTCATAAATTTTTTCAACTATGGTTCAATATGTTACATATATATGATGGAAAAAAAAAGAAATTTGATAATCAAATGCACACACACAGTTGTTGAATTCATTCATTCATTATTTCCTATCAGTTCTTTTTTTTTGTTCGTACAGTAGTATATGTAGATTATTGATAATTTTGTTTTATTTTGTCAATTGATTTCCAAATGATTGTGCAAAAAAGAATGTTTATTTATTTATTTTTTTTTTCCACGCATTAAAATAGAATTAGGTATTGAAAGTTTCAATATATCGAATAAAGAATTAAACCATTCGTCCATTCACCATTACAGAGAATATTCGAATAAATTTATTAGGAGAAAAAAAATATGAAGGAAGAGCAAAAAAAAAAAAGTTTTCACATTTCACAAGAAAATAATAATAATAAAAATACAAATCAAAATAAGAAGAAAAAAAAATTTACGAGAATTCGGCAAGATCTGTTCGGTTCGGTTCGATTCTGTTTTTTTTTTTTTTTGTTTGTTTGTTTGCCTTATGGTTCACCCCATTCCAATGTTAAATGAATCGATTTGTATGTTATACATGAATGAATGCATTTAGTAATTGAACAACAACAGTACTTTTTTTTCAATCTCGTTTTAACAAAACTTTTCTGCAATAAATTTTTTTTTTTTTGATTTTGATTTTGATTCTCCAATCCATTCATTCATTTTGAGGGCGTTTTATATATCTATCTATTCCATTTATCAGCTACAAATAAAAAACAACGAATAATAATAATAATAATAAACGCTTAAAGCTAATCACCACCAGAATACAAAAAAAAATCAAAGATTCAATAAGAAAAAAAAATATCGATCGATCGTTTGGAATTGACTTACAAATTTTTCTTGATTACAAAATACACAATGTGATTTTTCATCTGTCCATTGTGTGTGCGTGTGTGTGTGTGTGTGTGTTGTCATCGTTTTTTTTTGTGTAAAAGCGGTTGATTCATGGATGAAATCGAATGAATTAAATTGAATTAAAGTTTTGTTTTTGTTTTCGGTTTTTTTTGATCGTGCATCAGCAATCAAAACAAACAAACAAACAAACAAAAACAAGATCGAACAAAAAAAACAACATTTTAAACATTAAAATAAATCTATTTAAACTTTTTTTCTTTTTGGTTTCATTTTCTAGTTTATTTGTGATGATGATGATAAAAATGAAATGAAATTTTTTTTGTGTGTGTATGCCATCAATTTTCCTCATGATGATCATCAATATATATATATTTGAATTTGCACTGCACATAAATGATATTGAAAGTGAATTTCGTCGTCGTCGTCGTCGTCGTTTTTTTTGATCGATTCAAATCGATTCAATTTTTGTTTTTCTCTTCCAGTCTATTGAAAAATTTTCATATGGTCATATGATGATAAACAAAACAAAACAAAACAAACTACAGAATTTTTTGTTTTGTTTTGTTTTGTTTTTTCTTTTTGACGCACTCAAGCGCGTCTTATCTATCATTTTTTTCTTTCGAAGAAATTCTCCACACACAAAAAAAAACATCTTCATTTTTTCCACTCAATCACCTTTATGATAAGTGGCTACATTGATGAAAATAAAAAGTTGAAAAATTGATATTTTTATCAATGAATTTGAAGTAACTCCATCATCTTTTTTTTTAAATTGTTTTTTGGTCATGTTTTTTTTTGGTAAGTTTTTTTTCATATATATTAAACACAATACAAATTACCAGACTCTATTGTTTGATGTTGATGGTCTGTTTTTGATTGGAAAAATTCAGTTTTTCAAATATTTCAAACATTTAATAATCTTTTTAATGTTTTTTTTTTTTTTTTTTTTTGGTGAAAAAACAATCAATGTTTTGAATGTAGCCATCATTTCTAAGAAAAATATTTCAAGGTCAATAAAAAATCGATCCAAAATAGTAGTAGTAGTAGTAGTAGCAGTGATTTCAGATTTGATTTTTATTTATTTATTTATTTTTTGTCCCTCGATTATTGATCGATCCATTTTATTGTTATACAGTATTGAATATAAAAAAAATTGAATAAAAACAACAACAACAACAAAAACAAATATCAATATCGATCGATCGATCGATCATTTTATAATCATAGGCCAATCACATATTTTTTTCCATAGAAATTCAAGTTCAAATTTGATCCAGAAAAAAAAATGCGGAAAATGATCCAGTTTTATTGGTGTGTGGATAATTTCATTCATATAAATGAATTGATTTTGAATCAAAATTTTTTTTATATTTTATTGTTTTCCCCTTTTTTCAATTATCAGTGTAATTTTTTTTTGAATATTGAACCACACTTAAATCGACTTGAATTGGGTGGTTAATGATGATGAATTCTGGAAAAAAAATTCCGATACTTTGTATACCCAAATTTTCATTTCGAATCTCATTTCTTCTTTTTGTTGTTGTTGTTGTCGTGTGTAATCTTTGTTTGTTTTTCTCAGAACTTTTATATTTTTCACAATTTAAAATTTTGATTTGATTTGATTTTCTCTTGAAAATTGGATATTTTTCATTTTATTATTATTATTATAAAGAAAGTTCCATTATATGTTTCAAAATATTTCAACGAAATGAAATCGAATGTTTTCTATTTTACCTACCTATAGATTCTTTTTAGAGAGAGAGAGAGAGAGAGAAAAAACAATCAATTATGTTCATATCAGATAATTTGCTTGAATCATCAAAAAAAACAAACAAACAACAAATACATGTTTTTCGCATGAATACACATTTTCATACTTTAACTTACTAAATCCGTAATTTTGTTTTTTTTTTTTCAAGAAGATTCTTTGGAAGCAAAAAAAAAACATTATCCATATAAATTCACGATACTGTTGTCGATGATATTGTGAGTGTTTGCAATATTTTCAAGTAAAAAAAAGAAAGAAAACGTCATTTGGAATATAGAATTTTGGAATGAATAAAAAACCAAAAAAAAAACAGAAACAAAAAAAAATTATGAATAAAAATCATCTGAATGGATGAGAAAAATGAATCGAAATGAAATTTTTCTTTTTATCAAACACAACCGTAATATCATCATCCGTTGTTGTTGTTGTTATTGTTGTCGTTCAGGTTCGATTCTTATTTTGTGTCTGATCTTGATTTTATCCAGAATTTGTTGCATCACTTTTTTTTCATTCAAAGACATAATTTAGTCGACATATTTACGACACTCTTTTTATCCATTAATTAGAATTCCACTTTTTTTTTCTTTCAAAAAAGGAGCAGATAAAATAAAGTTTGATCATCACCATATTGTGGTAACGTATGGCCTAGAATTTTTTCTGATGGTGGTGGTTGTGAAAAAAAAAAATTACTCTTACGTGCCAGCCAAACTTTTATCCAATTTCATTTCTTCATTTTTCACTCTTTCCCTGTCTTTTATTTTTTGATTTCAACAAAATGTAAAAAAAACAACATATCCACCCAAAAGGGAGTAGAATACATTGATGATTGAATGTTGGGTGTCCACTACTATCACCGTAAAAGATCGTTATCTAATTTTATTTTTTTTTTTCATTCCCAGTGGTGGTATCAAGGACAAATCTCGCCAAAAAAAAAAAAATGTCCAACACAGCAAACAAATCAAAACCAAAAGTAATCATAACGATTGTTACCCAAAGGCTAAAAGTAAATTTACAATGTAATTCGGATATTGGATCGAATATATTTTTTTTTTTTTTGTCATGTAATTTTTTTTTACCAATCAATTCATTATCCATGAAATTCATTAATTCATAATGATTTTTTGTTTTTTGTTTTTTTGGTGGTTTTGTTTACTGGTTTGTGTGTGTATGTGGTTATCTTTTCTAAATTTTTTTCCTTATTTTTTCTTGAAACCAAAAAAAAAACAAGTTCTTTTTAGAATTTTTGTTTTTTTTTCATATATAATTCATTCATTTTAACCAACCAGAATGTAATTCGCTTACAATCTTTCATTATGAAAACTTAATGATTTTTTTTTATTTTTTTCGGATTTGTCGTTGCGGAATGAAATTTTTTTTGTTTGTTTGTTTGTTTGTTTGCTACGATTCACTTATTTTGATGATGAATGTTTTTTTTGTGAAAAATAAGAGAATCATTTTTGTAGAGGCCACTATCCAGATGTAATTGACAGTGTGTGTGTGTGTGTTGAGTGAGTAAGTAAGTAGATGATTATGATGATGATGATGATAAACTATTTTACTTACGAAAAAATGGCCAACGGACAATTTGTCAAATGAAAAATTGAAACGAATTTTTTTTTTTTTTTTTTAAATGAGAAAAATATTTGTTTCCATTTTTCGTGTGTGTGTGTACCGAAAAAAATGAAAATAATCAAGTGATGATGATGTGGATGATGATAAACTCTTTGGAGCGAAAAAAAATTCCATTATTCTATGTTTATTTTTATTTCATTTTCACATTCATTTTATTCAATGAAAATTCACATCGATTCTATTCCATATTTTTTTCCTGTATATCAAAAAAACAGATAGATTCATAACAATTTTTGGACACTTTTTTTCGTTGGTTGTGATGATTCGGTTGCTATTTTTTTCCATTTACCTGATTTCACCACCTACACATTGATCAGAATCTGCAGAATAGGAAAAAATCATTCATTTCAACGAGAAATTATCGAAATTGATCAACGAACGGGAAAAAAATCATTAAAAATCAAATGAATGATTGATATCTCAACTATATTCACCACCACAACAATAGCCAACGACATTAAATTTTTGCCATTCCTAATGGTTTTTCATCATCATCATCACAACAACAACAGCAACAACAACAACAAAATATGGCTCATATTGTTGCCAACAATAATAAAGTTAAAAGGCAAAAACAGCAACAGCAGCCTCATCTGATTATTTACAATAAAAATAAAAGCCACAAATATCGATCACTAATCTTCATTTCATGTTGGCATTTCATTTTCATTATAATCATCATTATCATGTTAACATTTTTTAGGTTTGTGTTACTCATTGCTGTTGTTGATTTTTGGGCATTTTTTTGTTTTGTTTTGTTTTTCTTGATGATAATTTATTTGTTTTTCACAAATTTTCTAAACTTGGCCATTTAGATTCATTGATGCTAATAATTTAAGCCCAGAAATGTTAATAAAAAATGTGATCAAAGAGCAATTATCACGGCAACAACAACTACAACCGCATCAGCCACAATTACACCATCATAGGCATCATATGCGTCAATCAATATCAAATGGTCAGGAGACAACAACAACAACAACAAAAGGAATATTGCCTCTAGCATCGTTGACATTACTACCTTCATTATCGATAACTACAACGACTACTTCAACCCCTCCAACTATGACATCCGGATTTTCATCAACAACGATTCCCGTAACGGCAAAATTAAGAAAGAAAAAACAAACAACAATTATGCAATCCAATAATAATGGCCACAAACAAGAAAACAATCATCAATCCTTGGAGGGTTTAATCATGAGAGCTAAATCACCAATATCACAACGAATGAACAATATATTCGATGTGGATTCTTTTTTGCCTCAAGGTTATGATAAACTGATGCCACCAAAACAGAATGGTATGGTTTATATCTTTTTACAGCGATGAACAAGATGATGACAATTTGAAATGATTCAATTGTCGTTATTGATTTTTTTGTTGTTGTTTCTGATAGGAAAACCAACAAAAGTTCGTTTTCATGTCTGGGTACTCGGTTTGGATTCAATCGATGAAGGTTCAATGGTAAATAATGAATTATTGATTTTTTTTGTCAAATAATTCAATGATAACTCATCATCATTTGTAGACATATGTTGCCGATATATTCATGTCACAATCATGGAAAGACAATCGTCTGGTCATACCAGATGATATTGAATTCAATGTTAATGCCAGTAATGATCCACGTGGTCCATATCGTTTATTGCCATTAACATTTATTGATAAAATCTGGAGACCAGATTCATTTTTCAAGGTAATAAATAAATAAAAAAATTCTAATAATCATAAGAAAAATTTTCAACAAAATGAATTTTTTTTCTGTTTCATTAAATTCCAACATAAAAAAAAACTAGAACGCCAAAGAAGTGACCTTCCAAGAGATGACTATTCCAAATCATTATATTTGGTAATGTTATAAATTATTGAGAATTTGAAAATCCTCAAGTGGTAATGGGGAGAAAAAAAAGAAACAACAAGCTTACAACATTCATCCATTCATTCATTCATTCATTGAATTCTTCGTAAAAAAGGATTAATGAATATTCAGAAATTGGCTGACTAATTAACAAACTAACTAAACGAAAAAATAACTTTTTTTCCATTTACACACACACACACACACACACACACACAAATGACTGATTACAAATTTTCTAATACTAATTTTATTTTCATTTTTTTTTCGTTCGGAAATTCTTAATCCATAAATTCTATGGAAATATGGCTAAAATTTTTGGAAAACAACAACAAAAAAAACACTACTATAAACAAAAAAGGCTTTATTCTGATAACACTATCTTATACATGGTCAAGTAAGTGGCAAATTATTCAATTATTATTATTATGTACAGAGAGATTATGAGTCAATTGAAAACAATGAGAAAAAAAATGAATAAAAAAAATTTAATTAGAATCTAGGTCATTTTTTTTCGTTAGTTCGTTTATTCATGAAAAAAAAGAATATCAAAGTTGAATATAGTCTGATAAGCAATTTTTTTTTTGTGTTTGTTTCCTTTTTTTTGCTTGTTTCATGTTTGTTTGAGTTTAAATGTTTTCTCTATGGTTCAACCAACCAGAATAACAATCAGAAATTAGAATAACTACTATAGTACTACTTGTGCCTGTAAATGAATGAAGTCAAAGAAAAAAAATTGTCATTCATTCATTCATTTTGTTTGTCTGTTTGTTTGTTTGTCTTTTTGTATGGAAAATGATTCCTGAAACTGGTTAAAAGAAAAAAAAATTTAAACTTTTTGTTCCATGCTAGACCAGAGAAAAAGTTTCCCTGTGTGTGTGTGTGTGTGCGAGTGTTTAAATGATAAAAAAAAGACCTTTGATGACAATGAGAGAAAAACGAAAAAAAAAATGTCAAGCCGATTCCAAATGGAAAACAAAAGAATTTTTTTTCCTTATAATTAACTATTACAAATAACTTGTTCAAATCATCATCATCATCATCATTTTTTTTTGTTCTTGGAATTTCAAAAAAAGAGAAAAGAAAAATGTTTAATAATAACAAAAAAAAAACCGAAGAAAACATTTCATTCTTTCTCAGTTAGTTCCATTTATAGCCTGTCTAGTTTTCCGTATGTTTGTGTGTCCAAAAAAAAAAAAAAAAAAAAAGCAAATTCGTGTGTGTCTGTCATACAGGCTTATTATTATTTTCTGATCTTGATTTCTCTTTTTTTTAATAATTATTTTCAAGTTTTTTTTATTCACAGAAATATTAAAAAAAAACAACACAAAATTCTATCCCATATAACTGTCACTCATCATACAAGCACCCATACATGAATCATCTTGTTGGATTTCATTTCAACAAAAAAAAATCTGTGCAGATAATTTTTTGTTTAATTTCATTATTCATCAGTTTTTGTTGTTGTTGTTGTTGTTATTCTTGATGACGAGATATAATGATTTGTCATTTCATTCCATGGAAACGAATTAAGGCTATGAATCTTTTTTTTATGGAACACCATTGTTCCTGTTCATATGTGTGTGTGTGGGTATGCTTGTTATCAGCATTTTAAAAATTTAATTTTGTAATTTTTTAAATTCAGGTTGATGGAAAAAATCGAAAACTTTTTTTTCCTTTACTGTGGAAAAAAAAGATACAAAGAAAATGACGTGAATAAATCCATCGTGTATTATGGATATGGCTTATCGGGAAATAATTGAAAAATTGAAATCAAAAATATTTTCATTGACAGAATTCAAAGGAAAAAGATGTATAGAAATTTCTGTTCTCCTAGGAATTTTATCTATGTGTAGGTGTGTGTGTGTGGGTGTGAAATAGAAAATGTAAATTCAATTTGAGCCATTTCCGTTTTCAATTTTTTTTTTTTGGGAGGATTTAGGTCATTCATTTTCTTGATTTTTTTTTGTATTATTATCATTATTTTCATTATTTCTTTTTTTCACTTTTTATATAGATTAACATTACTACTTTCATGTGCAATGAAATTTCAGACCTATCCACATGATACACAGAATTGTACGATGAAAATTGAATCCTGTAAGTGAATTATTATGGAATGATTTATTCATTGGATTTTTATGATGACAATTTTTTTCATCTATTTCATTTCACTTTTGCATCATCACCATCATCAGTATCTTATACGACCAATGATCTAGTATTCGATTGGGAAGAATCCGATCCATTAGTTGTTGAAGAACATATTGAATTGCCACAACATGATCTGATCAGTAAAGATATTGATTATTGTACCACCGATTATTCATCTGGTTTGTTTTCCTTTTTTTTTTGCTATCTACTTTATTTCATTTTTATTTTATTTTTGTTTGTATTTGTACAAATCCCAAAATAGGAACATTTGCCTGTGTTCAAGTTATATTCACAATTAAACGTCGACTTGGTAAGTAATAAAATCTGTTGCTAAATGTTTTAATAGTTTTTTTTTTCTTCAATTTTTTTTCTCTTTGGTCAACATATTCTTTTTGGTTATAAATAATTATTATTATAATCAGGGGCAAACAAACAAACAAACAAACAAAAAAAGTTTGTGATCACCATCATCATTCAATCTTGCCAATGTTATCGAGTAAAACAAAACCAAAGAGAAAACGCTATAATCGTTATATTTTTAATCGGAAATACAAACAATTAGATGATGATTTACATTAATTTATCAATGTAAAGATGAATGAGTATTGTGTATGTGTATGTGTGAAACAAAATCATCATACAATGGCTGAAAACTTTTCAATAGAGAATTTTTATTAATCTTGTATCCATTGTATACATGAGTTCACATGATGGAATGAATCTTCTGAATTTGAAAACTTATCTTCATATATATAATACAAACAATAAAGTACATTAAGATGATATATAATGATATAATAATAAAAGTGATAAATTATAAAAACTTTCGTTTGCTCAAACTAAACTATACTACTACTATTGGCTCATTAATAACGACATTGAAATCATCATTTATATTATTTTCATTCATGTATTTTGTTTTTTATGGATTGTAATAAACGTTGAAACCGAGGAGGGATGCACGTTAGGCATAAATTGAGGACGCAGGAATAATTTTTAATCAACGAATTTTATTTATCATAATAGTTTTTTAAAAAGAAACGCGGAGACAAAATATCAATACAACTAACTCGAATAACTCAAAAGTAAAATGAATTGGTGGAGCCTCTCTAAAATAAATCACCTGACTTGAGACCAAGAAGAGGGCATTCCGCAGACCTCGTTACACCCCTTTTTCAGTCGAGCTCTCTTGGTCTTCCTCTAGATGGAACATTAATTAAATCAGAATCAGTACAATCATTGATGTACAACTTCATTTGATTGTTATGAACAATAAGTTTTTTCTGATTTTGACCTGCTATTTCAAATAACTTAGAGCCTTTTGTTTCTACAATTTTAAACGGTCCGAGCCAAGGCTGATTTTTAACATGTTTTCTTCGGATCAGTACATAATCGTTAATTTTGAATTTTGATTCCAGATCAGATTGATAATTTTTTTTCAAATTCATTTTAGCTTGTGTACGCCAATTAGCTATTCTAATGGGATCTTTTTCAAATAGTTTTTGATCAATTGGATCGGATATATCACATTCGAACTTTTCGTGATTACCATGTAAGAGTTGACTTGGAGTAAATCCTGTGGAAGTATGAATCGTATTATTATATATTTTCAATACTTCATTCAACTTCTTATCCCATTCATCTTGAATTTTCATTGAACGAACAATATTACGAAAAGATCTGAAGAATCTTTCAATTGAACCATTAGTTTGATGTAAATATGGTACTGCAAATTTTTGATGAATATTTTTTTCAGCACAAAATTCATTATATACTGTTGATTCGAAGATTGAACCTCGGTCAGATATTATGTTCTTTGGAATACCACGAGTTTTAAATACTTTGTTTAAAAAGAATATTACTTTTTTAGCCGTAGCTGTTTTTGTTGAACACGCTTCCACCCATTTCGATGATAAATCAATGCACAAGCAATCAAGAATTACCGATTAATTGCGTTTAGATGAATTCATGTCACAAATATCGATAGACCAAAGGCATCGTTAGCGAATTTCCAATGACGAATAATCGATTTTTGTTATGTCGTAATTTCAATTTGATTATCATCATAATCTTTAGTTTGTTGACAAGATTGAGCATGAGATTAATCAATGATTTGATTCGTTCTTTTAATTTTGCATTGATAATACCGTAATTTCGGTAAATTCGCGCTCGTTCTCTGCGTATAACAACATGACTCCAATGAACTATGAATTTGATGAATACGTTCATTTTATCAAATCACTTAGAAGACACAACTTCGATACATCATTTTCTTTTATTCCATACACCGCCATCCTTCCAAAAAGTTGTGGATTAGATTCGATTTGATTTTGCAAAAGTCATCATGATTCTTGAAGACATCATTCCATGGTTTCGATTGAATAGTGAAGACACGAGATAACGCATCAGCAATGATATTATTTCCTACCAGGGAATATGTACAACGTCAGGGGAATCGGCTCGGTATTGTTGTAATCAATGCCATACGTCCAAGACTACTAACAGAATCTTTTTAGTCACCAACGCCATTGTGCTGACGATGATCACTTCTCTTAACCAAAAGTCCTTTCGACCACATATAAATAATGATTGAAATGTTCGATAGACCACAATCAAAAGCAGTTGCTTCTTTTTATTGTAGCATACCCCAGTTGCCGGATCAGTCTGAAAAGATTTGGAGGCATATTCAATTACATATTCGTTATTATCTTCATCACGTTGCAATAATACAGCACCTATTCCTTTACATCAGAATACATCACGATTGAATAACAAAAGGGATCTCATGATATATGAACAATTCGGATTCGGCATATGCGTATTACTGGAGATGCACAAAAGGAAAATATCACGAATTTTACACAAAAGAATCTTGACATTGTCATGACCAACAATAAAATTTATTTTGATGTTTCAATTTTTGGAGAGAGGTACTAATGTAAAGACATATTCTTTCAATCATTGAACGGAAATAATTAGATAAACCAATAAATCGTTCAAGATCTTTACGACATTTAGGAACCTGGAAAGTTCTTTAATGCTTCAATTTTTTTTATTGATGGTTGAATTTTTCCATCAGATACTCGAAAAACCAAGATATCTAACTTGTTCCAATAAGAGATTCAGATTTCGATTTGTTGATTGTAAGATTTATATTCTTTTGAATAATTTGAAAACAATTTCAAGAAATGTTTATAATGATCACTTTTTGAAGAATGAATAAGAATATCATCATAATAAAATTTTGACGAAATCAGGATTTTACCAAAAATTTTTGACATACATCGAAACGAAAGTTTGTGGAGCAGAAACGAGACCAAAACGGCATTCTTGCTTGCAAAATGATACAAGTTGTTATTATTCGATTGAAATGCAGTTTTTCATCACGATCTGATTCATTCATTGAAATTTGATAACTTGTAACCACTATTCATATCGATTTTTTGAAAAATACTTTGAACCACCCGGAGGTTTGCTTTTGCTTTTGACAACCAGAACAAAAAAAAACTTGGCACATTTAGTGGTTTTGGTTCCCCCCATTTTGTTATTACTGAGATTCTTTTTTTTCTCAATGTTTTTTTTTATTCTCGTTCATCTTGTTTTTTTTGTACTTTTAATTGTGTGATGACCATAATCATCATTTATGATTGAATTATTTTTATGGATGTATATGTTGTCTTGTTAAGAGAGAAAAATTACAATGATGATCATCATCATGATGGTGATAACATGATAGACAAGAAAATGAAGAAAACTCAAAACAATGGACAAGTTCTGTTGTTGTTGTTGTTGTTGTTATAGATTTCATGTTTTCACTTTTCCATTGATTCTATTTTCCTGTTTTTTTGTGTGTGTGTGTATGTAATGGATTCAGCTAACACGCACACACACGTTGAAGGATACAACAACAACAACAACAACAAGTCCCAAATGGTTCTAAATAATAAAGTGGTCGACAATTTTTTTTCTTTTTTTTTTTTGTTTGTTTTTTTTTCAATCACACACGTCTATATTATAGATGTGAACTACAAAGAAAAAACTTTATATAGCTTTTTATCATTTGACTTTAATTGAAATTGATTGGAAATTTTTTTTTCAATATTTTGTTAGCAAAAAAAAAAATAAAAATAAATTTCGATTTCATCAATTTTTTTTTTTGCTTTTTTCACATATTTCACAGGTTATTATATATTTCATACATATATACCAACATGTTTGATTGTAATAATGTCATGGATATCGTTTTGGATCAAACCGGAAGCCGTGCCTGCTCGTGTTACATTATGTGTAACATCATTGCTAACATTATCAACACAACATGCACAATCACAGAAATCATTACCACCGGTTTCATATATCAAAGCTATTGATATATTCATGTCATCATGTACGGTATTTGTGTTTGCATCACTTATGGAATATGCCTTGGTCAACATTTTAATGGCCGATGAATTGCTTAATGGTGGTTTTGGTTTAAATTGGTCATGTGAACCGAATACTGCCAATCCTAATTTGACTACAACAACAAGGAATCGATCACGATCTAATGAACGGCAACAAACTGAATCGAAAATAATACAACGGTCACGATCAGGAACAACTAAAGAAATGCTCAATCAACGCTATCAACAACAACAGCAACAACAACAACAACTGAATGCCCATTTTTATCATCATCATAATGCTCATCATCATTCTCATCATAACCATCCACCGTCTTGTTCCGTCCGTTCACTTAGTCTAACAAGGTTAGATTTGGCTAGCCAAGTCAATGATTTCAATGATGATAATGATGACGATGGCGACGATGATGTTACTGCTGCTGCTGCTGCTGATGCTGATGCCAATGCACGATTCGAATACAGTGACGACATTAAAACGAATGGATCGACAGTATCAAACTTACGACATAGAATTGGATCAATTTTCAATTATGATAATAATATAACGACGAAACCAAAATTCAACGATCGATTCAAAAACCATTCTGTTTATATGGTTCCGGATTTCGTGTAGGCAGTACAAGTGATGATTCTAGCCCAAAACAGGAAAAAATTTTTCATAGCCGTAAAACAACATTCGGTAGCCGTAATGATCTACAGTTCAATCTTGATCAATCAATCAATCAATTTTTATTACAATCAAAACATCGTCGTGCCTATACGGTCGATCATATTTCACGTTGGATATTTCCACTTTCATTTACCATATTGAATATTGTCTATTGGGCTTATTATCTAAATGTTTGTAATGAATGTTCAGTTTGGTAGTATCAGAAAAAAAAAAAAAAATACCAACCTTTGACCTTTTGTTAGAAATCTTTTTTTCCGTTTTTTTCGTCGTTGTTGTTGTTTTTCATCATTTTTGTTGATTGATCTAATTTTTTTTTATTTATTTCTATATAAAAATTCGTTAAATTCTAAATATTGATTGATTCATTCACGCACACACACATTATCCAAGTAATGCCACCTATCGAATAGAATAGAAAACTATTGAGCAAAAAAAAAAATTTCGAATTCAACTGGTTATTGAAAGATGGCATTGTAATCCTTTCTCAATGATGATGATGATTGGTGGTGGTATTTCAAACAATTTTTTCGACGATTCACGATATAAATCATATATACAGATGAATTTATTAATCATTGATTGATTGATTGATTGATAATAGGAAAAAGACCAATTTATTCTCATAAATCATTTTTATATGATTTTCATCGACAAATTCATTCAGTTCAATTATATAATAAAAATATATAATTTTATTATTGCACAAAATCATCATCATCATTCATTTTGGTCAATCTTGATGATGATGATCGTCCACTTTGTTCATCATCCCATCATCATTATCAATTGTTTGTATCTTTATCATTGGTTGTTTTTGTTGACGATGACGACAGCGACAAATTTTTAATATCGATTCTTGATTATACCAAACATATACACCAAATAGACAATAGATTATGAACGCCCATATGAATTGATCAATAGTCCAGAATGAAATATCAAATTCGATATCCGCTGTCGTTGTCGTTGTTGTTGCTGCTGTTGCTGCTGCTGCTGTGTCGTTGTCTCTGTCCATTCGTTCAATAGAATAATGCCAATCATATCTCACTGGATGAAATGAACTATAGTTGTTTTTTTTCTGCTGTTGGATAATATATTAATAACCAATCAATGTTAATTAATATAAAATTGGCAAATCGAATTGTGGATCGATTTTCTCACAAACGTGTTTTTGTTGTTGTTGTTGTTGTTGTTGTTGTTGTTCGATCTATTAAAACACTCTTTTTTTCGAATCAATCAATGTCGTCGTTTTCACTTTTTTGATATTTTTGCTTGTCAGTATGTGTGGTTAGTGGTGTTGCAGTGAATATAATTTTATGGCCTGATGAATCCAAATACATACACACAAAACGTATATACACACACACGCACAAATCGGATTATTTCTTTTATATTTCCAAGAAAAAAAAACAATCGAAATTTTAGCATTTATTATTGGCGGAAATATTGGATGTATTGTTGTTTTTTTTTGTTGTTTTAGAATTTTGATTGCAAATTATTTGAAAGAAATGAAAAAAAAAATTTTACTGTTTGTTTTTTTTGGTTCTCAGCGTTGTTTCTTCAACAATTCTTTACCAAAAACAATAAGAATGAAGCCAAAAATAGAATAGAATTTTGAATAAATTTTGTTTGTTTGTTTGTTTGTTTGTTTGTTTGTCATGTTAAATCTAATAATCGGAACACAAGAAAATCAATATCAATTGTTTTGTTATCGATTTCGGTTCCATTCATTCATCGAATGATCAGAAGTAGATCACACACACATCATCATCATCATCATCATATATATACATGTTCAATTTAAAATTACAGGAAGTTTTTTTTTTTGTTTTGTTTTGAAAACACCGAATTTCTCGACTTTTCATTCACCGTTATTTTTATTTATTTTTTTTTGTTTTCTCAATCATAATTTTTTCATCGTTAAGTTGATGATGATGATGATGAACCAAATGAAAATATGGCGCATTATTTTTTTTTTTTTGTCGATATCAAATTAAATTTCATTTTTCTTCACTTTTGGTTTTTTTTTCTCACAACAACACACCATTGTGTTTGAATGGAAAAAAAAATTGAATTTTTTTTTCATCCAATGAATCGAATGTGGAATCAATATTATATGATTGAATCAAACAAACGGAATGAAAATTTTTTTATTTTTTTTTTCATTGATATACAAATCGATTACGTTGTGTGTGTGTGTGTGTGTGTGTGTGTGTGTATGCCATGAAATCGGATACATCCTTTTGGTATTGGAAATATTTTTACCCTTTTATTTTTTTTTTTTGCAAGAATAAAAATTCTTTCGTTTTCATTGTTGTTTAACGGTTCATTGTATGTTTTTTTTTTGTTATTTTCAGAGATGTTTATTGTTTGTATATACAGATGTGAAAATAAAGATTGTGCGCTATGAGAATAATACTATTCACTTTACTAATCACATATATAAAACCCTTGAACATGAACATCAAGCATTCATATATTAGGATGTTTTGTGCGTCTGTGTTCCAGAGACAAAAAAAAATTTCATTCCTCTTCATCACCATCATCACCACCACCACCACCACCAAAAAAAACCATTCATTTGGACCAAATCAACCATTGTATGGAATTCTTCACCATAGATTGTGTAAAAGCGCGAAAGATAAAAATTTAAAGTACCCGAAGTATGAAATGAAAGAATAAAAAAAAAACAGTAATCATCATCATTTTTTTTCTGTTGGCTGGTGGTTGATTCTGTTTTTTTTTGTGTGTGTTGACTTGATCTGATATACACTCGTCTAATATTCTGATGACATTTATTTATTTATCTCATTAAAATGTTCATTTCATTCATCAAATGCAAAATTCTAATGCTGACGGAATTCATGAATTTTTTTTTTGGTTATCTTTCATTCAATTTTCTGTGTGTGTGTGTGTGTGACCGTGTTATTATTAAAACCTAGCTTGAAAAGCATCAATTTGAATCAAAAAAAATTTCGTTTTCCATTCTCTCATCATCATCATCAACATTATCTATTTCGATTTTTCATCTTGTGTGTGTGTGTGTGTGTGTGTGTGTGTGTGCGTGCATGTGTTCAAATTGAACATATAGCTGTTATATAAATAATTATTTTATAATTCTACTGGAACATCTGGAATTATCGATTAATTATTCACATCCATTCATCATCATTTACCAATGGATAATGATGATGATGATGATGATGATGAAACATTCGAATCACATAAATATTCAATTATAATAATAACACGATAATACCTGATATAACACACAATGTTTGCTACCTTGGGTTTATCGATTTCTATTTTCACTTCATTTTCCATCATGAATCGCACACACACACACACGCATTATCAAGAGTTTGCATGTTTGTTGTTTCCATCATTTTCATGGATGAATGCAATATTCTTGTAAAATAAATTCAATTATTGATTGGTTTCAAGCATTGTTTCGAATTTTTTTTTCTCAGTTTTGTTCTTCATTATTTGTAAAATTTCATTAATTGCCAGAGATTTGTTGGACAATACATGCAAAAAAAAAAAACAACAAATTTCATCAATCAATAAACAAAACGGCAAACGGATTGACATTTTCGATAAACAAACAAGGAAACAAGAAAAAAAAATCAATCTCTTTTTTTGGGTAATTTGATCAAATTATCAAATTGGAACTATTACTACCATCATCGACGTCATTTTCCATTTTGACAAATTATATATGTGTGTAAGAATAAAAAAAGAGAGAATTTAATTTCGTTTTTTTGTTATCATCATCATCATCATCATCATCGTATTATTAAATTTCTTGATAATCTTCGCTTTCGTTGTTTTCTGTTTTAGTTTTTGTGTTGTTGCCGTTGTTGTTGTTGTTGTTGTTGTTTGTCACCAACATAACTATAGAAATTTTTTTTTCTTTCAAAATTGTCATCATCGGTACACTTTTATGCAACAAAAAGAGATGTGATGAGAGAGGTAAGTGTTCCATGACAAATATTTTTGATGAATCCATCATACATTCCATACAACAAGCGCGAACATTCTAAATCCATAAATGACAAATGTGATGAAAAAAAACATATATTTTTTTCATCACAAAATACCTTGTGCATGACAAAAAAAGATATAACGTGAACAAATCTATAAGAAAAAAACCAATTTTCATTTCTCATTCCTTTACCCCGTAATACTACACACATTGCACTACCATTACTACAACAACTCACTGAAATTATTATTCGTAGCTACCGTCTCAATGGGATTCAGAGATGAAACATTTTTCAATTATAAAAATTGTAATTTAAAACACAGCAAAAGAATAGATGAAGCTTTGAGCCAGAAAAAAAAGATAAAACTGAATACATGTGCATATTTAGGATGTTAAAGATAAAGAAAACAAAAATAGTGAAAATACCATACTGACATTTTCTGGTTAACGTTTTGGTTATCTCTTTGGCCAAATCATCATTCAATATTATTTTCCACATTTTTTTTCCATTTTGATTTTTTCACAGTTTTTTTTTTTTCGTTGATGTTGCCAAAAAAAAAAAAAATTGAAACTTTTCATGTGTGGATGAATTATTTTTTTCACTCTTTATCTATTGTGGTTATGGTTTGATCTGAAACCAGCAAATGTATAACCAGCAAATCTTGATTATTGTTGCATGGTTGATTGAAAAAAAATTTTAATTAAATTGAAATCATCAAAAATTTTGGTCCATTTTTTTCTGTTTTTGTCGTTTGTTGCCAAGATAAGAATGTCCATTGTCCAAATAGAAAAAGTTTTCTTTTTTTTCTTATATTTGGCCACCATAAACTATCGATTATGAGTACGATGTTTCATTGTTATTATTCTGTTTGTGCCATATTTTTGACAGTCACACACACAAAGACATACACACTTGTTTAAACAATTGAAATTCGTAGTGTTGAAAAAAAGAAAAATACCTGCCTAATAACCAATAATTGGTGCAAAAACTTTCAATTTAAATCTTTTGTACCTAGTTTTATTCTATTCTATTTATCTAATTC